CAACCTGGTCTAGTGGAAGGTGTCCCTGCCCATGGCAGGGGGGTTGGAACTAGATCATCTTTAAGGTCGCTTCCAACCCAAACCGTTCTATGATTCTTTGGAGCAGCAATAATCTGCTGCTTGTGTTGGTGCGATGCCTCAGTGATGGGGGCACAGCAGCTGGCCTGGGCTAGCGGAGATGCCCAGCTCTAGCACAGCAGCATCAGGCACGTTCCCCTAAAAACAACCCGTAATCTGTTCTTGCATCCCTCCCTCCTGGAGGGGGATGGCTCGCGTCTTAAGTTTGCGTTGTAGGATCCTTTTGGCAATGTTTTAACAGGGGAGCAGGGTAAAACCCTGCCTTCCTGAATCGACTTCTATAGCAGAGTAGGTTTTACCGCTCTGATATTCTGCTGTGACTCCGTCATCCCCTCCAGGGATGCTGCAGGGAACATCTTGATCTCACTCTGGATCTTTCTTGCCTGGATTCAAAGGGTTTACCATAAAAAGAGGAATATAAAATGTCCCCAAATCAGACTTTACTGACTCTGCTGTTGTAACTGTAAGTTGTGGCAAATAGATGTAAACGCAGACACTTCTGAAGCAAGTGTAGCTGGAAACGTTTTCTTCCTTCTCGGGGAAGGAATCTGGGGATTAAAAAAAAATGTGGCAATGAGAATATCCCTAATTCCAGCATGAAACCTCGGTCCAAGTGCTGTCCTGTGCCTACGAGTACACTTCTGGTGAGCGCTCTGTACTTGATGCAGCTCTAAGTCTTGTTAGTTGGAATAAAAGGAAAGGATGGCTGGGGCAGTGTCCATCACCTGCAGCCCCCAGCTGCCATTTTCATGGGGAGAACGTGCCCGATCGGTGGCAGTGGCCGGGAAAAGGGAAGATGTGAGAGCAGCTTGTGGTTCTTTTTAGTTCGGAGTGAAAGTCAGAGAGAAACCGGATTCGTGTGCAGCTGTGTGAGCCACAGGAACCTCGGTGTCTCTTAACGTGCCGTTTTACAGCAGAAAAGCAGTGTTGCATTTACAAGTAAATCTCCTTATCCTTGGGTGCTTCTGGTTTCCCTCCCAGGTTTCTCGCCATGCCCACCTGCTTGGAGCAACAGAGGGGATAAACAGAATCTGCCCCAAGCTTCGGGTGTTGTGTGTCTAAGCCTAGGCACGGTTCGCTGCCTTCAGTCACTGTTGATTGATAGGGACGGGGTTACAGGCAGGTGGGGACTGTTTGATGTTATCAATGCAAATAAGCAGCATCGCTGCTTTGTCTTCAGAGAAATGAACCCCCAAACCCCAAGCCTGCTGCCTGTAGCACTAGAAACACAGGCACGCATCGGTGCCTGCCTTCGTGCACGTTGTTCTGTCAACAGCCGGAGGAGAGCTCTGTCGGGTAGGAAGAACGTGATGTTCTTGATGCTTTTATCAAGCTATTTATTTTTTTCCCCCCCTCAGAAAAGGGTGGGAAGAAAATGCCTTTGCTGTGGGGGCTGAGTTCACACGTAATAACCTAACAATATTTCAGTAGAGAAGCGACACCTCTGCTGCAATGAGAAACTGTGTGCCCTTACTGCAGCTGCACCAGGTAAAGCCAAAACCTTAAGGACCTGATGATGTGCCATGTCCTGTTACACCAGGCAGGAGCGATCGGCCCCGGGGGTGGACGAGCCTCGTGCCCCAGGCTGTGCTGTGCACTGCTGTTAGAGCGAGGCTCCCGACTACTCCCCAAACCAGCCGAAACGCAGCCTCTCCTTACAACAAAGCTGCCAGTTACATTCCCCCCAGGCTCTGCCGAGGGAGTGAATTCAAATTCAGGATTTGAATGACAGTCTGACTGATTAATTCAGCTCGGAGGCCAGACTGCCTCTTCCCAGCAGAGTATTGGTATCTGAATCCCTGGGGTGGCCAATTTAAAACCCACCTCATTACAAAAAGCACTTGGGAAGGGCGGTTTGAAGATGACAGAACCAGAGCTCGAGAGGAACACGTTTAACTCCTTGAGTACAGACCCTGCGTACTGTTAACCTCCTGCTAGTGGCTGTTTTACATTGTAAAACGAATCCACTGTGAATTGTTTCACAGGAATAATTTTATCGGTAAAGACCCGCTCTGAACAACAAGCGTCCAAGCTAAAGCAAGCAAACCTGAAACTTGCAACAAAGGTTGAACAACTGGAACACAGCTGTGTAGAGAAGGTAAGAAAACACTTCTAATTTAAATAAGGTTTACCCGCTGGCTGCTCCCCAGGACAAGCTGGCTTGCGATCCTTTTGCAAGGTTGTCACTGTCAGCTTGGTTTCTTCATCAGAAAGTTGTGGGGTAAGCTGGGCTGAAGAACCACAGCCTCGCCTGTCCTGCCCATGCTTCCCTTTGCTGCTTCTGTGGCAAAGGAATGACAGCTACCTCTGTCCTACTTACTTTAGCCAGGTTGTCCTGTTTTACTGCAGAGAGATACCTTAAAATAGTTTCCCAGGTTCCCACAGACCTTCCCACTGCTGAAATGTAAGAGCTGTATTAATGATTTGACTTTCGTCTCCGACAGGAGCAAGAAATTGAGAGGCTTAACAAGATATTAAAACAGCATGGACTCATCGGCGAGCAAAAATAGGAGGCCAGTTTTCCGAGGTGGGGAAGTCTGCCCTGGAGAGTGCAGTGTTGAAATCTAACAGTTTGACCTGAAAGGTTTTCCTGTCTCTTTGCTTTCTCTTGTATAGTGTTGTCTATAAACATTTTCTATTTGACAACACTTTGATTAGATCTTGGGATTGCAGAAGGAGTTTTGCTGGAAAATTAATCACGCGTACTCCCTGTAAACAGTGATTTCATAAGACCTTTCTTGTACAGTTGTAAAGTCAAAACTGCAAAATAATTTAATAAAGACACATCTTTACAAGCTATACATCCACGAAAGTACCCCTTATTTTAAATAATTTCATCTTTCTGTGATAACGTTCTTTTTTTGCAACATCTTGTAGAACCTTGCAGTACAAACGATAAGAACCCAGGCTGAAAAGGTCGTTTCTTCTCTACAAGCGACTGTTCATCATTAGTACATCTCTTCTTTGCCAACCATTCTTTTCATATTGTTGGTAGTTTCCTCATTTCTGTTGCTGCTTGTGCCACTTCGTTATTTACATAATGTTCACTTCAAAAATACCAACATACCACTCCTTTAGTTGACAATCAAATCGGCACCAAAATAGGGGCAAACATGTGCCATCTTACGTCAAACAATGCCTTCTTCTCAGCAGCGGATTTGAGTTCTGATACCGAGTTCTGTCATCTCTTCTTCCATTTTAAGTGTTCGTTTGCGGCCCACTGGGCTACAAAGTTCCTTCTGCTTCCACAGCTCATAAATCAACACATTAAAAGAATTAGAATATGTACGAACAGATGTAGGTGAGTGGACTGCTGGGAACAGTTAGACTCCAGAAAAGCTATTAGAAAGCATATTCTAAAGGACCAGGCTGGTGTTTGAACAAAATGTGAACTTTTTCAGGTATTAGAAGGTCCCTGCGGTGAGACTGTTTTATAGTTGAAGAGTAAGATTCGGTAAGTGGGAATTTTGGAAGGCGTTGACTGTAGCAGGCGTCTCCAATTGATTTCAGCCAGAGTCAGCTGGAAGGGTCATTGAGCTTTTCTGAAAGCATCACTTAACTGTTCGGATTTTTCAAGAAAGGTAATTAATTAGTGGTTTGGGAAAAATAGCTAGAAATATATGGCTTATTCATCTATGAAAATAGATAAAGTAGAGGCCTTATCTAATAGCACAATTACTTTAATTAACAATTTAGCTCTGCTGTTCACAGAGTAATGAAGCCTAGTTTCCTACGGAGCTGTACTGTGTCCCTGTGCTCTTCCCTTCCCCTCCTGCCTCCACACTGCTAGGCAGGCAGCTCGGACTAGTGCTACTCCAGAGCATCCGATGCGCTGGAAGGCTGGTGACCGTGCATGTGCTGACTGGCCAGCCAGGGCCACCATCAAGTTCATAGTGCAACCTTTTTTCCTCTCGGCAGAGGTATAACTGGGAACTCTCCACTGATGTGGGTTTTTTTCTGCCCTAAAGCTTCTGAGCACCCTCACAAGGGCTCACCCTTTCTCTCTTGGCCAATTTTAACTCAGTGTATCTACAATTTAGAAGAAACTGAGGGCCCACCACAGTGACTGGATAAACCTCGCTTCTTTAGGAAGTGGACTAAAAATCAGAAAAAGCAGAAATAATGGCTTTTTTCTTTTTAATGCATACTTACCTTAGACAAACGGAAAGAAAAAATCAAAGGGTAACTTGGCATTAATGGTGGGCCAAGCTTTATAGCCTGGCTCTGCAGGTGAAGAAATATCAGTGAAAACAACAGAACTTGTTATAGGAATAGTCCTTTCCCTTCCTGGGGGAAGCTGCAATGAAAATACAAATGGTCATTAGCTTCGGTCTTCTCTTTGTATGACTACTTTGCTTGGACTGGGTTATATTTTCAGCTGTTATTTGCAATAAGGGTTGGGTTTTTTTTTTTTCACATACAGTTCCCTGTTTCTTTTCATGAATGATGTATAGATTTTTACTGAAGTGTGTTTTGGCAAGCAGCCCACAGTTGTGTTTGAGTTGGAACAGAAACTGTTGGGTGCAACACATTCTAATATGAAGCGTTACCTTTAGATAAAGAGATTAACTGGGTCACTGTCGCACAGCTGATACCGAAGGAAAACAAGCCATTCTTTTTATCTTAAATCCTGTAATTTAATTACATACCTGCTTCAATGTGGTGGTAGTGATCGTTGCTGTAACGTTCACTATTCTGGCTTGTGGATTGACTAGGGATCCATATTTAGTCCACTTCACCTCTATTTCAAGTGATACTGGTATTTGGCATGAGCTCTGAAAAGTGTTATAAATTCTCTCATTGTCTGACTTGTACAGAAGCAACCACATTAATTATTTATCTTATTAAACTGGCAGAATGCCCCCAGAAAGCTTGCTCTGGGAGTTACCAGAGCAACTATGCCATGCCTGTGCCCTGGACTGCTGCCTGTGCAGGCAGCGCAGGTGCTTGCAGCCTTGGCTCAGGGGTGTCCCTGCAGTTTCTCCATAGGTGACAAACCGACTCTGTAACTGCACTTCAGGCAGGACTGTTCTACCTGAGCAGGGCAGGACTTTGGATCTTAGTGATAGTGCTAAGCTGGCTCTTTTTAGTAGGAAGACTTAATTTCAGTAATACCGCTGGGACAGTAGAAAATCCTTAACTCTGCCAGGGCAGAATTTTGAAGCCTACGATCTTAAATATTTTTAGGTATTTCTTCTTGAAACTTGAACCAAGTTTCTGGTTACAGAAATCATTCACTGTTTAGTTGCAAAAGCATGCAAGAAACCTATATACAAGCTGTCATTGAGGGGGTGGTGTCATTCAGCACGTGCCAAACAGCACTGCCTACCACCACTAGCAGGGACCGCGCTGCATCGGGAGGAAAAGAGCTAGTACAGAAGATGTTAAGAATAAATGTAGTGTTTGGGTCACTCAACTATACTGTTTCTGTGCTTTAAAGGATTCTTGCTATCTTACTCTAACGTGGCATAAGAGCACCAAGGAGAAACACCGATTCTGTTACTTCACTCTTTTCAACCTTACCTCTTGTGCTTCGCTCCCTCTGAAGACCAGACTCTAAACTGCAGCTAGAACTCATTTTGTACATAACATGTTGTCCTGATCCGTAACTGAGGTGCCCAGATACCAGCTTGATTAAAAGTAAACCCTGTCTTCTACAGCAAGAGTAAAACTCCTCATTTGTGAATATTCCAGGAGGACTTTCCTGCAGTTTGTTTCTGCATCTTTTTCCCCATAGGTCTGAGAAACCTAAGCTGATGCTGCAGTACAGGTACAGATCTTGGGAGAGAGGACAGTAAGAATGAAGGGGGTGGTGGTAGTGGTGTAACTTTCACCTGTTCTGAGGTGTGGAGGTGAGTTATCGGCACCCAGTCAAGCACATCCTGGGCTTGAGAATTTCCAAATGAGGCCACGTATTCAGGAAAGCTTTGTCCCTTCAGTAAATCTAGGAGGGTCTGAGTCAAAGGCTGGCATTTCATAGCTGCAGTAATTCTTCCAGAAAAAAAAAAAAAGATGAGTTAAAGCAAAATCCATTTGTTTGGCACAGTAATAATTTCTCCTTGCTCTCATGCACTGTTCAAGCCTTCTGGCTACAGTTGCTAAAGTACACAATCTTTTCAAGAGAAAGACTGTTGTTAATTAAATTACTTTTTTTTATAATTAAATACTCCTACAGCAGTATAAATGTCCCAGGACCCGAACAGATCCTAATGGAAAGGGTTGTCAGAGGGTTAAAAGCACTAATCCAAAAAAAAAAAAAAAAAAAGAAATATTCTCTTACCTTAACTTACAGCCCGATATCATGTTATAACCAAATAATATTGGGGTTCTGGCTCCTTGTGCTGCCAGACAGTCCTGGTTGGATGTACTTTGCAGAAGGGTAAGTTGACTGTATTTGTTAGTATTCTGAATGATGCCAGATGTAACACACAGTTAAAGGGAAATTCAATACTTGATGTATATCATGAAGAAAGAATCTTTAATCATATCCTTAAAATACATCTGAAAATGCTATAACAGCTCAAGACTCCTCTTACACTGTGAAGAAGCGCTAGACTGTACAATGAAGGTCTAAATCTACCTCACTAAAAAGTCCCAGGAGATTGCAGTCAGGATTGAGTCACTCGCTACTTCTAAAACATAGCCAAAAAAGCACACTTTTACTTTTCTTAAAGAACAGATACATTTTATAGATGTCCATGCTAGAAAGCATTTGTGAAGACGGACCAGAACAAGTGCTGCAAACAAAATTTCAACAGGGAAAGGATATCCTTGTGGCCGGAAGCCTGCTCTTACAGGCAGTCCAACAACATAACCAGGATTACCACTGAGTGGAACTGGCTTTGTATTTACCTGCAATGCAAATGTACAGTATTAGTTCTTATCCTGTACTGAAATAGCTGGAAAACACAGAAACATTTAACTTATTTTAGGATTATTAACTGCCTTGAACAATGACAGTAGTAAGACTGCTCTGTAAGACTGTAACAGTTCTCTAACATTGGGGCAGGCTTTGCTTTCACTGGATACAGTTATACAGAGTCACAAGATGACTCTTCTAAATGTGAAAAACAGACCTTTATTGCCCAGTTCTGAAATGCCACCTCATTTGTGTATCCACAGCAAGTTACATTTTACCTCGCTGCTAACAATTCAAGTTTAATAAGTTTTGTAATTAAATGTCTTTCAACAAGTCATCCGTAACATCTCTAGCAGTTACCTGAGTAAAGCTGATTTCAAAGCTCTGCTGTATTGAAAGTGCTTCTTTGCTAATTGCCCCCAAGACAAAAGAAGCAGCTGCTTCTATTATTTCTCCTGTGTCTGTGTATGTAATGTGATAACTCACCTGAAAATTAAACATTTTAGATATTAATTAGAACAAAAACATAAAAGCATGAAACTAGAAAAATGGAATTTAGAACTATGTTTTCTTTCTTCCTTCTATTGTTTTCTTTCTTCCTTGCTTAAGAAACACTCAGCTACATGGCAGACATATACTATATCCTCAGCTGTAGTAAGGATGGGCCCAGAAAACAGGAGGAACTGAAGTACTGCTCAGTAGGTGGGTAGTCATTTTACAATGATTGTGCATTAAAAACACAAAGACCTGCCTCTATATCCAAGGTAGCATATGCTTTTATAAGCACTGATACTTAGGGACTGATTAGACACTTTCTCTCCAGATGCTGATCTAGCTTTCTCCTACAGATTAAGACACGTGGCTTGGAAACACTGCCTATTTATTCTAGTTTGTCACTCATTTCCTGTCTGCAAAGGAAGAGAGTTTCAAGAAGAGCAAGAAAAAAGCTGTGGTCTGATCTGACAGGCAAAAATGTGACATTCACAAAGTAGCCATGTCAGCAGATTTACGTATAAAGGACATGATTGTTACCAAAACCAAGCCACTGATTAGCAATGGTCGGAAACGGATCTAGGGTTGGAGCCTCTTAAAAATCTGACTTCTTGATAAACCTCTGCTAAGTATAACCCCAATGTTCATCTATTTAAGATGAAAAGATGAGATGATTTGCACTGTCTATTCCTGCCTCTGCCACCACTGTGCCTGAAGTCGTCATCTCTCAAGCACAATGTAGATTCTAAACTCATGTTACTGTCTGTTATGTCATATACACACAGTAATAATAGAAAAGGATTTCATCCTGTCTCCGTGTTATGTTGCATATAGTTATTGTTTTGTGGCAAAACACTCTCTTTTATCCCAAAGTCAGTGTTTCTTCTGTCACATTTGCTTTGGAGATGTCACAGTATGTGGAAACTGTGCAAGGCCTTTCTCACATCTTTGTGAATCAGAAATTATTTGATGCATACATGCTTTCCATCAAACGTGAGGAGGAAAAGAACTGTCATACCTACCCCAAGAACTATATTTATGCACAGTTCATCCAAAATCATAGGGAGCCTGAGGACATCACTACCATTAAGTAAAGTCCGCATTCCATTCAGAGACTGGACAACTATGGACTGGACAGTAATATTAACCTGAAAAACAAATTCATGTCATTTCTGAATAGTATTTTTGGCTTTTTCTGTTTTATTATATTTGCGACCCTTCTGGGTTCCGTTCCACAGAGGCAGCAGTCAATAATCCTCTGAACAACTGCGGTTACATGTATTGCTGAAGTTCAACAAAAGGTTCTATTTTTAAGTAACTAGAGTCACTTAAAAAAGAGAGAGTTTTGTACGAGGGGAATGCATCAGGCTTAAATATTTGCAGGTAGCATATTATCTTGGAGTTGCTAAGTATCATTACTGATAGCAAATGATAGAATTTTTTTTAATTTAAAGATTAAGGATAAAGTCCCTGTTCTGATGAAGTCAGTGAAAAACTCACTGACTGTAACTAAGAATTTTGCCCCCAGCTGTTCCAACTAAGTTAGAACGATACTTACCATCTGACTTGATTTGGGTACCTAGAGGAGAATAAAAGAACAAATTCAAACAATAGCAAAGGTATAACCTATTACAAGTAGCAGTTAAGGCTTAACTGCTTTGCCTATGTAACTCTCTATTATTGCAATAACTTTTACATCATGGAAGTGATTGGATATACACTACAGTATCCAGGCAGTGTGAAAATAACTGCTATTCTTTGTGGCTAGTAGGCAAAATCTTACAGTCCAAGCCTCTTCTTCCCCTGACAGTAAGTGGAAAATTTTTTAGTGACTTCCACCAGTTTTCCATCAGGCCTAGCTTTGACTACGTTCCCAATAAATATGCAGTGCATTCAATAAGTAGTAGATGAAGCTAGTGTTTCCCTTGGACACTCTATTTGGAACTCAGCTAAGAAACACTTAAAAAGTTTACTTGCATCAGAAAGGTGACCCGAGAAAGGCATCTCAGTTTGGCATGACTGTTACTGTGCATCATATCGTTTGACCTATTGAGGGTGTCAGAGAACATTGTTCCTATTGCAGATCTGTGCAAAAACACTTGTAACTATTCATAGACTGCCAGTTTAGGAAGTCTGCCAGGCTGCTCGTACCCAAAGAAATGAAGAACTTTTGTCGTCCCATTCAGACGGTAATGAGTCCATAGTTTCACGGTCTCTAAACAAAGAAATGAGAAGCAAGTATCCCTCTTGTTATACAGCACATGGACATGCACAGTTGCCCCACTGGAAAATTTCCACCAAATTTTCATGGAAAGGCAGAAATGTCAGACCAAGGTCATCAATCAGGCCTGCAAAATACTCACATAGAGCACCATTTTGTCAAAAGTTTTATTTTTGTGACTTCCCAATGAGTGTTTGATTCACATCTTTGGGAAGGGACCAAAAATTGGACTCTGACCATGAAGCAAGTTCTACAGAATTACGACAGGATACAGAGACCAGTCTGCTCATCTAACATCACAGCAGAGAACACATTCCTATGAGCTGCAGACCTGAAGGTGATGCAGGTAAAGTCTGTCACACACTGTCACATATTTATATCAACATCCTGAGGTACGGCTTAGCCATCAGAATCAGCTGTATGAATAAAAGTGCTTGTAAAGAGTCGTCCTTCAGGGAAGCATGCTGGTTCTGACTAGGGTAGAGGGAATGATCACCGCTCCTAAAATTCTATTTATCTGTGACTAGGGTGATGAATTATGTTTCTGTAGGTCACTGGCAGACAGCACTCCAGCCTCACTGCTGCCTTCCACTGACTCATCCTCCCACCAGCTAGGGAGGCCAGCAGGGGCAGGCAGCAGCGCGTTGCTTTGGCAGCTGCACAGTACGCACTAACCGTAGTATGAAGCATTGCAACGTTACGAGTATCTATCTCGATTGAGGGTTCCAAGCACCCCAATGCCCCTTGGGTCTGCTGGACGGGCTAGGGTAGGCAGCAGAGATGAACTGCAACAATTACAGACCTTCATATCACTCAAGTTGCCCAGCCTGGCAGTGAGTATGGGCTAACGACGGGGTTTTTCTGAAGGAACTGCTGTGCCAGTCCTCTCACCGGGGGCTCCCAGCAAGCCTTCCTGGGTTGATGTGTTTTGCCATTTCTTTTGCCGGCAGCTCCACCTGCTGGCACTTGAAGGGCTCCCTGCTCTGCCCTGTGACCACCCTGTCCCCAATACCAAGTCACTTCTCTATTGCCACATCCCATCTTCAGCTCCCTTTGGGAAGGGGAGTTTCCTACAGATCACCTCTAGCGTCTATTCCAGCCTTCTCCAGTTCTTGCATCTGATCCTTCCTGAATCTCCAATGTACTTTGGACAGAAGTCTGACCTCTCCTAAGCTGGGCCACTGTAATTGGCAAACAGCACGTGGGTAATGTGTTATGTACTGTTCCAGTGAGGAAGGGGAATTCATCTTTTAATTCAAAAACATTCAGCTGCTTGGAGCCTGTCCTGACACACGCTTTTTATTTTCTGGTTCTGCAGTCACCAAGAACTCTAATTTTGGGTACACATGGAAACACTCAAAGCCCTTCTGAGGCAGAGTGTTTTCCACCTGTTCCACAGCGGGATGATAAAAAGCTAACATTTGTGAACAACCCTTTGCTGATTTCAATGAGGTCCTCAAAGATGAGGAGAATGATCCCACCTGTGAGAATGTGAACTACTTTGTGGGCTTTCCTTTACTGTTGATAGCTTTGGAATCTGTGAGGAGACTGCAAGGGGTCTTTAAGCAGTGACTCACTTTGGAGTACTAATTAAATTAATTTAAATAATTACATATATTAAAAACATTTTAATGGTGGAGAGTATGCTGTTTCTTGATGACCTTCAGCTTCTGGAAGGAGCTATCAGGTTAAGGTATTATGTATTTCAGTCTCAATTTTGCGTGCATGATTTCTTTGTCTTCCTGAATATCTGTAAAGGGGATTTATTTATACATAAGACATCATCCTCCAGTTCAAAAAGGAATGAAAAAGTAAGCTTAGCTTTGAAAAATAACCAGACTGGATTTGGTAGTAGGCTGGATACAATCAAATTTGCTCTCAGTGGGGTAAAAAGTCATGTTCTTTGAGAAGTATAAGGAAGGCTTAGCATGCATGGGCAATACCTCACTATTAAAAACTGAGGCTTGTAAGAAAGGTATATATGCAGAGGATTAAACCTTACAGGTTCTTATTTAAGTACAAAGGTTTACCAACTCTTTGAAACCCAGACTTCTTAGAATTATGCTCTCTAGTAATAGGCTTCTTGGAAAAGCTTGAACATGTACAAAAGCGTAAAACTGTTGCCACTGCAGCAAGCGCTAGCTCAGTGATACAAGCTTGTCTCTTCAAGACCATTTTTTTTGTTGGCTAAGGAAAGAACAGTAAATGCTTCTGTTACCAAAGCTTAAAGTAAAAACACTTCCAAAGGCTTTCTGTATAAAAGTCTGTTGTAAAGAGATTTTTTTTTTTTCCCAACCCACAATTTAAAAATCCAAATAAAACACCATATCCTTTAGTAAATAGAAGTTACTTAATTCTGGAGATGCAAAAAGATATGTAATATCAATGGTCAGCTATATGTTTCAAATCATACTTACGGCTAAAATGCTGGAGTTGATATAGAACAGCATACTAACTGCTTGAATGTTGCCACATTTTTCCACACTTACTGATCTAATGCATTTTGTAGCCTGGTTTACTAAAAACCCTGGAAAAAAGTCACAAAGTATTACTAAAGGAAATTAAAGAGTAATTATGAAAAGCAGAAATAAAAAACAATGTAAGAACATCAAGTATAACCAAAAGTGAAGGTAAACGTAATTTCTATTGCAGATAAGGTTTTATGTGAGCTATAAAGAATGATACATTCTTAGATTTTCCAGAAATGCTATGAGACAAAATGTTACTTCTTAACAATAGAAGCTTAGTAAAAGCTAGAAGACTTATGACTTTGTTTTTGAGATCTCCTAAGTAAACAATGTAAGAACCTCAAGTATAACCAAAAGTGAAGGTAAACGTAATTTCTATTGCAGATAAGGTTTTATGTGAGCTATAAAGAATGATACATTCTTAGATTTTCCAGAAATGCTATGAGACAAAATGTTACTTCTTAACAATAGAAGCTTAGTAAAAGCTAGAAGACTTATGACTTTGTTTTTGAGATCTCCTAAGATTATTTTTTTTCTTTCACAAGACACTTCAGTTTTCCTATGGTTGTCATCATGATTGTTATGATACCATATTTAATAATAACAGTGGGTTTTGGAAAATGCAGGTGTGTGGTTTTGGTTGTGGCTTCTCCTCCCCCCCCTCCCCGATTTTCAGGAAACTGTGTGAAAGGTTAAAATGTAGGGCTCAAGCCTGCAAGTCTGACTTGACTTGCATTCCGGCTGTGAAAGGAACCTCATTGTACCAAAGGGACACCTTACAAAGGTTGCCCAGTTAGGTCTTGTTTTGTGGAATACCCTCTTCCCTCATGGTGTCACCCTTGTACTATTTTATTAAACCAATTATGCCAAATAGGATGTTTTATTGTTGGATAAACAACCCATTAACAAGACTCTCAAAGATTTACATATCTAACTTTGAATGTGTAATATAGATGTAACGCAACTTCCAATCTATGTCTAAAAAAAACCCCCAGAGAAACAGAAGCTGCTTGAAAAACATTTGTTCATGAATCTTTATCTGAATTTACATTTGTGTGTGTGCCAATTTACTGACTGATTAAGCTCAAGTCAGAGCAGAATACTCTAAAGTAAATAAACCGGAATTCAAATGTATTTTATAACCTGCAGGATTCGCATCAGAGCACCAAGAGGAGACAACAGGACTAGGTAGTCTTAGAAATGCATCCACTGTCTGTATAGGAACACCATACTGCCAAATAAAACAACATATTCAAGTATATAGGTGAGTTTCAGTCCATGGAAAGTTCTAGACCATTTGCATTAACAATAAATCTGAATAAAAGGAGGACTTATTTCCACTATATCTGTCAATACTGTATACTACTTTGTGCATCAATTCCTAAGCCACTGCTAACAGCTTTATGTTTACAATAGCAAAACAGCTACTTATTTTTCAAAGCTCTTAAAAACCTAGTTCACTTTTTAAGTAAGCTAACGCAAAACGCTACACTTCTTATTTTTACATTTCTATATTTAAAGACAAAAATAAAGTTTGTCTTTTCCAGAAGAACTGCATTTTTTTTAAAAGCAGATGCAAACAATGCTCACTTGTTCTTTTATGGAACAATCTAATACTAATTGAATCAGATAATTATTTACCTCATAACTGTAAGTTTCATTCGCATCAGAAGGATTTTGAGCATCTGTGTTCATATTCCAGCTGTCAGGCTCAGCACTGAAAGAAGCACTTCCAAACTGTTTAAGCAACTGATCAAAGTTTTCCGAAGTAGGCATTTCAGGGGAACTGAAGGAAAGTGCTTGTTTATCTGTCAAAACATTTTAAAGAATGAGATAACTTTTAGGATAAAAGATACAGAAACAGTATTTAGTAACAATTTTTCCTTCTGAACTTGTTAAAGACTCGGTTACAGAAAAATATTAATGCAACTTTTCTTTAAGAAAAGCTTTCTCTTTTCTTTAAGAGAAAAGCTAGGTGGTATCTTAATTCATCATTTCACCCAGATCCATGAAAGCACAAACTTAAACTTAAGGAAAGAGGTAAGTCCCTTTCTTTCAAAATCACGTTTTCTAACAGCATATGTTCCAAAACAAAGACATGCCAATTAGTGTGTACTATAGCATTCAGATGACTACTGCACAGTCATAATTAAATTAAGAGAATATAGTACTGATCAATTCTTACTTCCCTGCAAGTCACTTCAAAGCTGGGCATAAAGGATTTGTATCACTGGTGACTATTACATAGTTATAGTACCAGATCGGGAAGGAGTCAGTTTCCCGTGAAACAACTTTAAATGTGATTTACGGAGGATGTTAAATTCTTTACAAAAAAACCCAAAAAACGATTTTTTTTTTTTCAACAAAGACGACTAAGAGATTATAAGATGTTTTAACTCCATAGTTTCACAAGTGAAAAGATTACAACATACGGACTGTGAGCATACAGAATAACCAGTTTTCTGACAGGTTTAGTTACTTTTAATTTTAGTCTGTTTCTGGTACCTAAAGAGCTTATAAAAATAACAGCACAATGCTTAATATTGGCAACAACACTACTTACAGTTTGTAGCGTGAATGCAGAAAACACTGGGATTGACTTGGTCAATTAATTTAAATATCCTTTCTGGTGGATTTGCTTCAACGTCAAGTGAATATATAGCAGCTTTCTGACTACAAAGACGGCTGTCACCTCTGCAAACAGTAATAATAAAATCAATGATCCACTAGAAGTTAGTATTGACCATATTGTAAAGTTCTTTTCATGTATTGAGGCAGCATCAAAAAAAGCACTAAAGAGATTATTCTTCTTAACACAATTTGTATAGCAATTGTGCCTCCTTAGAAGGTTTATATTGTTTTATACTGTGTGCTTAGTAATAAATAATAGAGAATTCTCCAACATGTTTTATCTAGCAGAGATAGCAGTGTGAGCTGAGCAGGAACATGAAGAAAGGTAAGAGACAGACCAGGGGAAAGGGAAGAGCCTGACAGTAATAACATTAGAGCTAAAATGACAAGTTGGATGGGATCCAGATGGTGTGAGACACCACAAATGCAGGGTGCACCACAGGCTATACACAGCTCAGAAGCACTTTTATTTATACAACACAAGTGGGAAGTATGACCTTTAGGGTAACGTGATGGCATAGACCAGAAAAAAAGGTCAGTTTCGTGAATATTGGAATAATATTCACTGGGGGGGGGTGGTGGGGGGAGTTCTACTTGAGATGCATGTAAAAGAAATGGCAGAGTGAGAAACAGGGAGGTGAAATAACCCATCCAATCTAGGAAAAGTATTTGTAGATGTGCCATGGGTTCATCAACAACAGCCCAGAATTGCAGTAGGCTGCACAGCGAATGTACCAGTTCATACCCTGAAGAATACTGGTGTGTCCTACATACTAGAAATACAAGATGATGATCCTTGTGAAACTGTTACTTAGGCAGAGTTAAAGCAGTGAAGGACAGATACTGAAGAAGTGAAACGACTTTTAGAAATTACTTTTTTAAGCATGGAGTTAAACTTTTCCATGAGGTGAACCATTTGTTAATAGGATCACATCATTAATCAAACATCCTTCTTCCTCTGTTTCAGAGACCACATAGCCTCTCACTTGTGATCAAACCCTTCCAGTAACTAACACAATTATGCAAATGTATATAAATCTAGATGTAGATAATGAGATCCACAATACTTGCGGTCATTGAAAATCCCATGGATTTTCATGCAAAATGAACATTTTACAGAAAAGAATTTGGGGAAAGAAAAACAACTTTATTTTATGCATTTCTAGTTGACAAAGACAGAATAGTCACCTGAGACAATTAAACTATCACTCAGGAAGGCGTCGATTAGACCTTTCTGATATATATAAATATCTATAAATGGGTAGCAGTAGTCATTGTGTGCAAGAACAATAAGAAAAGGTACTCTGTATGACTGCTAATTCAAATTTCAAAGCACCGAGAATAAACCCCAGTGTTCAGATTGGCATAATTTATGCAGAAAGTGGGTTGAAGAACTGTACTTAGTGTTCTGAGACGTCACCAAGAGATTTTTACATTATGATTTTGAACTGAGCTTTCTTAACTCCCTTTTTGAGAAGATTAAATTGGGTGAAGGTGTTTTCAGATAAACTGTAAATAGCAAAGAAACAACTATTGGCATTACTTTATTGATATAAGGTTACATTTCTCTGTTTGTAAAGTGACAGACTGGCAGCGAGGCAGCAGGTTGAGATGCTGACTTGTAAAATTAGGATCAGAACGATGCTCACACTACTTCATTAAGCCCTGAATTGATCAAGTTTCTAGCTGGTATCATAAACCGTAATGAAAGAGGTTACTGATAAATTGCTGATGACCCACAGAGGTGGCCAGATGGTCCCATGGTATCAGCTTTCTTAACTTCCAGACACTGCATTATATTGATGAAAGTCTAAAGATGCGTTATTCTTCCCCCAACAGAAGGCATCACCACCTAAGCGCCCATAGACAGTAGCACAGTGAAAGAGGAGAAAAGCAAGGAGTGTGAGTTTAGAAAAGAGGGAATAAGTGAATGAGAAACTGGGGTGGGAGGCCAATTTGCTGTTCTACCTGGTTGGGGCCAAAAGTTTACACTAGTCCAGGAAGGACTGATGAAAGGGTAAGCAGGAGTTAGGATGGCAGGGGGGAAGGGGGTTAGGAATCGGTAAGAGGAGAGGATAGGGCCCTTACAAATGCATGCAGCAAATAAAACAGGATTTTGTATTTCATATAGCTATTTATCCACTTACGTGACAATAGGAACTGAACATGTAGTAAAGAGACTGACATCTGCTGCACTGCAATCAGGGTCACAGCAGCAATTTACATCACACTGTGCCACCAACAGATCACAAACACACAGCTTGGCAACTGGAGGAGAGATTTAAATTAGAATTAGAATTGGAACTTTACACATTACAGCATGTTCCCTAACACTTTCATTTTTCACCTCGCCTTATCTTTGACAATGGTCAAAAGTCTATATCCAAATTCATGTGCCTTTTTTTTTAAAGTCATTTTTAAAAGACATCTTTTCTGCTACTTAGCAAATCTATTTGGAACAAAATAACAAAACCAAGGGCATACTAAAATCTGCTGGTGTGTTCCCTGTGAAATCAGAAAAGCAACTTAATAGGAATTTTGAAGGTATGAAAATATACTCAGCTCTGCAGAGGAAAAAAAAAAGATACAAACTAGGTGTGCTTATCTACTTGTTTCTTTTTTTTTTTCCCCTCCAATAAGCTGAAACATTTTGATAGAGCAGTGAGATGTTTACAAGTCTTGAGCATGTCCCAGGGTCCAGTAATGTATTTTTCTGATGTGCCAACATAACCACAGTTGACTTCTTTGAAATTGTTTTTTCTCTCTGTCTTTAGATACTGTGAAATATTGTAATAATACAGAAAGTAATTGCTAGCAATACTGTAAACTGTCTTGATAAAATACATTTGGCAACTTCTTAAAACATTCTTAGGTTTTCAAGTTTATAAATTCAAAGAACAGATATTACTCTACTGAACTGTTTAGGAAAGTTGTTCTGTAATAAATCTAAACTTAAGAATAGCACAGAATGTAGAAAATGAAGACCAGTGCTCCATAGGCAAGACATTCAAAGAACACTCATTTTCATAACTACTGCTTCTTTTATTTCAACTTGACTGTTGCCCACTTCTCTCTGGCCTCCTGGATGCTCTCTGACCATCTGAACAGTATCCAGGTATTTCCTGGAATCTCTGAAGTTCTGACTGTTCTGTTAGCTGAGTTTAGCACTGGAATCCTTAGCTCACCTTGTAAACAAGAGAAGTTTAAACATGGGTGATTGCACAGTTATGTCTCTGAGATAAGGGATTTAAGTCTCTTTTCCCTAAGGAGGCATGCACTGGGACAACATTTTTAATTTGGCAAGTAATCTAGGGAAGCTGAACCAATGGCAACAACATTGGGAAGTCAAAAGTTAAATAAAAGTATACCTGCCAATTAGAAGACAGTAGGAAACACCTTCTGATAGCACAGTAACAAAAATATGTGATCTATATTGCCATAGCACCGCTACATATCAACAAGAGCTGGGGATTAATTGGGAGTCTTGGGGCAAACTGTGTGCACATCCAGCTCGGTGTGTAAGCGGAGATTTCCAAGCACATCCAGGGTGAGCCTGGGTCTCCTCTGCGAGGCCAAGCTCTGCCCTGTGGGCTCAGAGCAGGATGCTGGGTGGGCAGGAGAGCCTGCCCTCCGTCAGCGCCGACTCACGGGACTGTGCGTGCTGGGACCAGCGTGCCCAGTACCCGAAGGCTGCGTAGGGCTTGCTGAGCCTGCCTCTCTGAGGAGGCTCCGAGCCCCGGCTGGAGCGGGGTGCTGTTAGAGAGGGGAGCTCAGAGCAGCACCGCAGCACAGCCCCGGCAAATGCCCGGGGGACCCCAGGGAGAAGCAGGGCAGCTGCCGCGCAGGCTTGTCCCAGCCCCGGGCGGCTGCAACGGGAGCCGGAGGGGGGGCGAGGGCCCAGCGACGACAGGAGACCCGAGAGAGGCCGTGAGCGGGGCTTCCCTTAGCCCGGCAAGAGTCGCCGGTGCCCCGCAGACCCCGCCCCGCAGCGCCCCACCGGGCACCCACCGTC